TACTTATAATATTCTATACATATTTCTTTACCTAATGTTTAATGTTTATATCAAAATTCTTTGTTATGTATAAAAATTGGTATTTATATTATGTCAAAATTAACTAATTTAATTACTAAAATAATTACATTATAATATTATATACATTAATACATTATTACAAATTACAATATTATAAATCTCAATTATTAAATAAAATGAAGTTATATTATATAAGTTAAACTGTATATAATATATATAATATTACCTACACTCAAATATTATATTATCTTACCTGTTTGATTCAATTCATCTGCAATGTTTTTCCATACCTTTTCTTTCCATGTACTGTCACTATAATTTGGACTACTTAGGTCATATAGCCCGACATGAAGTTTGACGAGCTCAATTAATTTTTCGCTGTCCATTATGACAGATAGATCCTCTGATGAGTGAATTGAAAATGATGAAAATATATCAGTTGCATATCGTAAACATCAAATGCGATCGGACGCTTGTTCAGACATGTCCGATCCGGCGCCGTTCCGTGCCCAAACTTGTCCGAGCTCGGACAGAAAATCGGTCAGCGACAATATTTTTTTGATCGGAGAGAGACGTACATTTCCCTAGCCCCACCCATTTCAAATTTTCAAAATTTTTCTACGCCAATATTTAGCACGTGATTAGCGTGAATTTGTACGACCGTTTCCGAAATTTGTACGGTAGCGGTTTACCCGGAAAATTCAATTTTATATGGGTGGGGCGGGGGAAACGTTTTTCCAGCNGTCAAATAAAAGATGGTAGGTATAATATTAAATTATTTATTTGTAAGATAATACACAACACCAATACAGCAATGCGGTAATAATATAAGTTTTGAACAATAATACAATATAACATCAAAGAAAAGAAATATTTTACAATTTGTTATGTCTTCACTTATTTTGTATTATAATAAAGTATAAATATTATAGCGCGATTATGTTCAAAACACTTCACTCCTAATAAGTTACAAACAAAGTTGGGTTGTTTTAAGTATTCACCCAGTAATAAACGAAAACTTAAGCCGAGTGCTGTACCAACTAAATATTTAACTCCACGCAAGGCAAGTATTTTAAAGGGGTTTAATATTATTTATTGTCATATTTATTTTATAACTATATAATATACAATATTATAGAAAACTGTACATAGTCAGGATGATGAAAGTGTTGAGGTAAATGAACTAGAAGATATGTCAGGGATAGGATTGTCTACTATTAGTGACCATGAACCTGAAGATACGTTAGAGCAGTTAGAGGTAGACATTTATACCATTATATGCATTAACATGCAAATATATTCATGTATACATATTTATCTTTAATTTAGGTACATGTTGATATAGAGACGAGAAAGAACAAAATTAGCAGATCTCTCATGGACAATTTTAAGTCAAATGAATCCATAAATATAATTGGTAATAGGAAAAGGTAACATCAAGATGAATTTAATGTAGATTTATGTTTATGTTCCAAGTTCTAATATGACATTGTGTCTTTTACTGTATTGTATACTTGTCTATATTTAATGGAATTCTTATTTATAATTCAAAACATTTATTTTAGTATTGAACAAGAACTTGAGGAAACTAAAAAATGCTTAGCTGCAGTAAAGGAGGAAAATGAAATATTAAAAATGAGTTTCAAAGATAAAGTTGTAAATTTATTTTCTCATATTTTTACAATTACGCAAATAAATTATTTCCTTAATCCAATGAATAAAATAAAAAAATGGGGAATAGATGACATTACAGGAGCAATTTCTCTTAGAAGTATATCACCAAAGGCTTATAGATACTTAAGAGAATCTTTGAAGTATCCATTACCAGGTTTGTGAAATATTTCTTATTCAACTGTCACTATGGTCACAATTTAAAACTATTTTAGCTCTATCTACTTTGCGAACTTGGGCCCAAAAATTTCCAATTCAACCAGGAGTTTTAACAGGTGTGTTAGGTATCATGAAATCTAAAGGTAAGTAAACTAATCTAATAACTATTGGTTATTAACTTATTAATAATAAAAAGTTAAGTACCTACGTCATAACTACTCGATCGTACAATAAAATATTAATTAAATTACAGGTATTTCTATGGATGCAAATGATAAACTAGTAAGTTTATCATTTGATGAAGTTTATATATCTCATGATATCTGTTATGATAAAATATCTCAGCAAGTTATTGGACCACACAAAACGGTCCAAGTAGTAATGGCCAGAGGTATATTTAAATCATGGAAACAAGTTGTTTTTTACAAATATGATACACCGATGACAAGTGACATATTATTAGAGATTATCACTAACTTATATAACATTGGATATACAGTTGTATCTGTGACAAGTGATATGGGTCCAACAAACATGGGTTTGTGGAAGTCAATGAATGTTTCTCATACAAATAGTTCATTTAATCATCCTCTAATGCCTGACAAGAGAATTCATGTTTTTGCCGACGCCCCGCATTTGTTAAAACTTATTAGAAACAACTTTCTTGACCATGGTTTCCTTCTGAAAAATAACAACGGTATGAATTATTTAAAAACATTAAAACATTTAATTTAAGTTAACATTTCTTTTTTA